TTTTTAGTTACTTGACACCTTAAATTAGTCTGTTAATTTAAACTAAATTGTGTATACGCACAGTGTACCCCCGTTTATATTTGATTTCAGGCTTGAAAATTGCTTGAATTTTGCAATTGTTTATTTGATTTTGATCCTCGAATTATGAAAATAATCAGCGTACCAAATCATGCCACACAAATTTGTCAATGATGCAACATCAAGTGTATGYATGTGTCTATGCTTGTGTGTGTATGTGTGTCTCTCTCTCTCACATTCAATTCGCTTCAGGCTCGCTCTGTTTTATATGCTCACAGTTTTGCTCATATTATTAGGAATTTATCGGGGCATTTGGATCACAGCTTGATGGGGGGCGTGGCACACATTGCGCTTTGGGTCAAACAATTTGAGATTACAATTATGTTAACATTATTTCATTTATTTTCGATCGCAGCAAATGAGGAAATTGTTTATTGAAATTGCAAAAACCTACGAGCATTGCGAGTATCTTAAAAATGTATCTATAAAATACAAAATTGCTAAGGCATGTGCCGCAGCCGAGATACTCGTAGAAAATGTGTTGAAAGCGTGCCCAGAGTATAAAATGGAAATATTAAATATAATAATAATCATATTTCATGTTCAAAATAATAATATTATAAAATTACCGTTGAGCTATGTCTGATGTATATTTAATGTCCATATTAACCTTTTTCAATTCAATCTGCTTCGATGATGACAAACAAAATCGATAATTGAGAGATTGTTTAAAGAGAGGAGAGACTGCGGCTTATAAYAATAATATGGATTTGATCGATTGGTAAACATTATGTGATAGAGAGAGAAATGAGATGAATGTGAGATATTATATATAGAGAGCTGTTAAAGTGGGGAAGAGATTTAGACAAACCGAAATTTTAGGACATGGACATGGATAGATTCATATAAAAGATTGAGAGAGAGAGAGAGAGAGAGAGCGACAAGTAAGAGAGAGAAAGAAATCAAGGTGTAGAGAGAGAAAGGGAATGCCGGGGACAAGAGAGAAATTGAGAGCGAGAATGAGAGAGGGAAAGAATGAGGGAAGGAAAGAAAATGAGAGAGGGGATAGAGCAAGCGAAAGTGGGCGAGGAAGAGATATGAACAAAGAAATATAGAGAAAGGCTAACCAATAGCAAAAATCTTAATGCTTTGCGGGTGGATCAGAGTTGGCCTATTCTACAGATAGTCTCGATTTATATGATATATCAGCTCCCTATTGAATCGATGAAAACATTGCAATGCTAACTGAACTCAGCTGTTCTTGTCTAGGTGCACGATAGAGTTCGATTATCTTTTGACTTTATTTTGAAGTTCTCCCCATTTATCTCATACTTACCTAAAGTGATGAGTCTAGCTGAATAATTCAATAAAAAACTCGAGTCCTGGATTTTTATGTTTATTTGTTGGATCTTTCATGAATGGAAAACATTTCTAAAGTCTTATGTGATTGCATGTGAATTATATTGGCTACAAATTAAAAGTTTTGGATACAAATCAACTTTATATATTGTAGGCTGAAAATCTATAACTGAGTTAGAGAATTTATTAGGGGGTTTCTTGTTTAATAAGCTAGGCTCTTAATTGCTAACCATTTTGCTTCGAATTCAAATTTGGAAATTAAAAGCGTGCCTTGGCAATTGCCCAGTTGGCAGCTGGTCGCCCTGTCGTGCTCGTGCTCGTGTTTGTGTTCGTGTTCGTGTTCGTGTTCGTGTCAATCGCTTGTTGGTGCTTTGGCAGCTACACGCGGTGGCCCCATCGATCCGATCAATCGATCACATTGTCCATGTCACATATGTCAGCCGGATAAGATCAGCACAGATCAGCAACTGCTCGAGCGATCACTGTGTGCCGCCACTTGTATCTGTATCTGTATCTGTATCTCCATCTGTGTTTGTGTCTGTATCTGTATCTCTGTCTGTTGATGCAATAAACTTGTCATAAGCTCGAACAGCCCGTGATTGATGCCAAATTCAGGTCTCTCGAGCCACAAATAACAGTTTGTGCTCTCAATTGAAAAATTGCAAATTGCCATTGCATAAATTTGTTCTGAGTATCTGTATCTCTGTAGCTCTATCTGTATCTTACCTGTATCTGTATCTGCGTCGGCTAAATGTTTTGTTTTGGGCATAATTTATGCGCTTCCTGTTCAATTGATTGCATTTCCAAGTATTTTTGAGCACTTCAGGCATTCTAACGAGCCGCAAAACACGACCGCCTTGATTGCATCCTGTTGACCTCATCTCGATCTGTCGCTCTCTTACTCCATTTCCCTTGCCTTGGCTACGCTGATCCATTGCACGTCTTGTGCCCATGTCGTTTGTCACGCGTCTTGGCCAAATTGATCGGCTCAAATATGGATGGCTTAAACATTCTTTGGCCAAACAACAAATCGCAAACAGAGAGAGAGACTGCAACACACACAGACAGACAGACAGCAGCTGTGCTCAGCTCTTTTATGGCTCTCTAAAGTCGTTCATAGCACCATTTGTGCTAATCAAGTTTGTGCCTGCATACGTTTTAATTGTGCCACAGACAAATTATAATTTGAATTAGGTGTTATAAGTGAACGCTTTGGGCTCAAATTGGCAATTGCGAAAGAAGGCTGCAAAGTTGAAAGTTTGAGAAACCGTCTTGAAGTGAGTCGCACATATGAGTCATTCGGCAAATGCATATGAGCAATAACAGTTAGGTAGACGCTCCCTGAACGGAATAATAAACCGAGATGGAATTTATAATAGGAATGTTTACGCTTAGAGTAAATTTGGATTTGATTAAATCAATGGGATATACATAAATCCTCTTACAGCATGGGAAAGGAAACCCCAAAATGAGTACTATAATTTATAGATGATCTATATCAGTTATGTAGGTAGAGACTTCTTGGATGGACGAATAAACAGAGATGCGCTCAGCTCTTCATGGGAGTTTCAATAGAGGATTTTGGAGTTAACGGCAGGGAAAAGGAGAGTATAGGCTATAGGCCAAATGACAAGACAAGTGAGAAAGATAGAGGCAGAGAGACAGATATATATACATGCCCACTCTCTCCCTCTCTCTCTCTGCCTCTCTCTAACTCTTCAAACTTCAATTTGACTAAATCTATGGGAGATAAATCCTCCTCTTACAGCAAAGGAAAACTCAAATGAAGTAGCTGAAAGTATAGTTTATAGGCCATGTGAAAAGTCAACCATTCGACTCTGGCGACACTGGCTCACACGCACTTTGGGCCAACTCACACACACACACACACACACACACACACGCACTGAGAGGGCAACTCGCATAGACACGATCATTATGCAGATTTATGACTTCAACACTTGCAACTGATAGCAGGCATATATAGCGTCCGCCCACCTGTCCCCCACCATCTCTCGTTCAGGTGTTTGTCTGTCCCGGTCCCTGCAGTCCGCCTCCTGCGCCATGTGAGCGGCGTTAACAACGTTGTTTGTTTATGAGACGCTTGCATTGAATTATGGCAAGACATTAGCAACAATTTAGCGGGCAGACATGTCGCCAGCTTCAATAATCATTAACAGCGACACTTGGACGCTGCTTGTTGGCGCGCACTGTGCCGCGTCCATGGACATGCCTGAATGTACACACATACGTGTTAACATGTGCGTATCTGCATGTTGTTGGCCAGATATCTAGGCCTTTTGGCCCAAGTGGGCGTCTCAAATTGACTTAATTAATCATTTTGTCATAATAATCAACTTTAATTAAATTCAATTTCAAATCGTACAACTAAAGCAACACATTGATTGACTTCGACAGCGGCGAGTGCCCGAGTTCTATGCGGCTCGGACAAAAAAAAAAAAAAAATGGTTATTAAATTATTACGAAATGTTTAGCTATGCAAGCGTCGCCCCTCCCACGGCTCCTGCACCTAGCCAGGTGTTAACTGTTCTAATTGGGCCTGCCGCTGCCTTATAGAGTGCTGATAACTACCTGTGTGCATGCTCGATTATGATGTGGCTGGTCCTCGACTCCAATCACCTCGCCTCAGCTCGACTTGTCTGATAATTGCCAGCATTGTCGCCAGACTCAACAACGAGGAAGCCAAAACCCAAGCACGACAAATAGAGCATTATGCATATACTTGCATATATATTTGCATGACATTAGCCCCGCCCTGCACCCCATCCACCCCATCCACCAGCTGAGTTGAGCTCTATTGTGCCCGCTCTACAAAACGTTTGTTTAAACGTTCTTTAATCACCAGTCTCAAGTTGCGAGCTACTGACTTGCATGCTGCGCGTACTGCACAGTGGCACAAGGCCAATTTGTTTCCAGTGAAATGCAAATGTTCGAATATAGCGAATAAATAAGGCAGTGACCGCTTTGTCCGCCTTGGTTCTGGTCTTGTAAAGCATTCAACTTTACCTAGTCGTTCACTAGGGCTCAGGATCAGGATCAGACTCAGTAAAAATATTAAAGTTTTCGACTTACTCTGAGATTATGCTGTTCGCTTTCTTATCTACCCCATCTAATCTTAAGTAAATTTCCTCAGGAAAATATCTTCAGAACCAAATATTAAATTAACTATGCCAGCAATTTGTTCTGTAAAGCAAACAGGTGCCATTCTTTTTATAGAGCTCCAAATATATATAGGAATAGTGATACAAATAGCTTCAGTACTTCTTCAGTGTTCTTATGGGAAATTATGATCTGTGCATCAATTAATGGAATATTTCTGGAAAAGAAGCTTCCTGGAATATCTGCCGTAATTGTGTATAAATATCTGTTGTACATATTTGAAGACGGCGTCTAAAAGCCTGAATATTAAATGTATCCATAACTTATATTTATACTCCCTTAGATAACTATAAATTCATAGATATATAAATCATCGTTTCATATATATTCACACATAGCTTTTTATCCATGGCTATACGTCCATATATAACTATATATGCATATTAATATTATACATAAACAAACATTCAATAGCTTTATTTTGGTTCGTTATACCAAAAAGGCATTTTCAGATGATGCATGTAAGATTTATTTAGATATCAAGTTAGATTAGTAACAGAATATAGTTTGATGCTTGTAAGAGCTGTGTGATATTCGAATGTCTCGAGCGATTCCATTGTCAAGTGTTTGTTTGGTATAAATACAGTTCCATCTGGACAGTAAACAAGCAGAGTGTAATACTTCACCTAAGCTGATTCCCAGCAAAGATTTGCATACACTTGATAATGCTGAACTTCGAATTGAATGTAGAGTAATTGAGTGATGCCTGAGTTGAGCTGCTGTATGACTGTGTGTGTGTGTATGTGTTGAGTATTTTATTTAATTATGGTTCCCATTTTGTCGTTCGTTAGTTCCCGCTTGATTCACAATGGTATCGCTGCTTACGACTGGTTGCTTTTGGACATAAGGGCTGCGTTGATATCCTTTGTGGCCATAGCGAGCTGATAGAGTAAGCAAAGGAGCTGCAATAACCAAGACGTTCGACCTTTCGCAACTTACCAGTTTCGAGTCTGGAGAGCCCTCATCCTGGTGAGTTTCAATCTTGCTGTTATTCGAATCAGCGCTGTTTGCCTCGGCGCTCAGCATCGCCTTCTTGTTGCGGCGTGAGATGGTGAAGTGCGACGGATTGTTGCCGTCGCGGCGTATCATGCCGGGGAGAATGCGGCGGCGCGCATTGATGAACCAGTTGTTCACCTGCTGCACCATGATGTTGCCCCTGTGGGCGAGAATGCGCTTCTCCACCTCGCTGGGATAGGCGTTGTAGCGGTGCTCGTACAGCCAGCACTTGAGGATCTTCACGGCATGCGGCGGCAGGTTGCCGCGGCGTGTCGGCAGCTCCTCTTCCAGGATCTGGTGTATGTTCTTGTCATAGCTTCGTATCAGTCCATCGAACTGCATTAGGGTTGCCCCTTCGACATTCGGAGCTACCATTGGCCTGGCGCCCAGCTGAGTCTGTCCCGCCTGCTGCTCCGGGTGGCTCACCAGATCTATGGTGCCAAGCCCGGCATCGAAGCCATCGTTGTCTACATTTGCGATGGCATTGGCAACAGCTTGGGTCTATAGTAGGTCTATATGCATTTGGTGTGGCCCGGACTTACCTGCACGGCCCACGTGTATGGTATACTTCAGGTAGCGCTGTCGCATGGCCTCGGTCAACACTAGATCGTTAGTCGACATTGCAGACTATCTCGATGAGACTTTTTCACGAATTTTCCACAATAAATAAATAAATAATAAAATGCCAAAAATAAAACTGAAAATCGAATGCTTCCCTTTCAGGCTCAAGCAGTGATTGTGAAGTTCCTGTTCGTTCCGACTCCAATGTTAAGTTGACAAAATCAATGCCTACATTGATAGGCTGATATTGAAAATATTGCAGCCCAAACCTTTGATTCCAATTAGAATATATATAGAAATGGTCTATTAAGTTATAATTTTCATTTATTTATAATAGATTCGCCTGTGGATATTCCATTAATTGTATATATAACAAATGCCAAATATCCTTTTTTTCGGCAAATATGGAATCTTATAGCTGTAGATTAGCACTACATTTTCAAGATAATTACGACAATCCAATACACAAGAGTAGAGTTTTCTGAAAAAATGCCCATATATTA